GAAGAAGAAGAAATAGTCAAAAGATGGTTAGCGGGAATTCAAAAGCTTATAGGGAATTCGAACAACAACGGTACTGCTATATTATAAAAAGAAGAAAAAAAATGCAAAACAACTAGCTATATCTTAAAATACTGCAGGTTTTATAATTTGTTTCTTGTTTGATTAAAGAATAACCAACTATTACCCTGTTTCTCTATCATCAGTGGATTGGACAGGAGGAGTTCTGTAGTAAGCAGGCATTGTTGCCGGGAGGAATGTTGCTCTAATTCCTTCAGCCTTTAGTATAGGGAAGATGATGCCTGATCCAACCTGAAAGATGACAAAAATAAAAATAAAAATTTAAGTTTCTCTAGGAAACTCATGGTGAGAATAATAGTTCAAACAAATGTCTGTTAGTAAGGGTAATGAGTGTTAGGACATTTCGGCATTCAAACACACATCAATTTACGTGGTTCGGCAACTTACCTACTCCACGGAGCTTCTAGTTTGTATTAATCAAGCTCAAAAGCAATACAAACAACTAAAACAAGGAGGAGAAAAGTCCACGGATCAGGGTTTAGACCAGACAGAAGAGCCATCAGTCCTTCTGAGAACACGCCTCCAAGGCTCAAATAATTGAAGAATGCTTCTTTCATTTCCTTCCTTGATGGATCCTGATCCGATGAAGAGAATACTGTGTGTAGGGTGCTTGCCAATGTGTTTATTGCAAATGACGTTGGCTGCAACCAATATTATGTTATTAGTATCTACCCAACCTATAGAAATATAGCAATGCTTGAAATTTGAAGTTTCTTTAAGCAATTCCTGTTCAGAGTTTGTTCCGAGGAAGACTGGCAGAAGAAATATTAGATAAGCTTGAGCATGCGAAAGCTGATACCTTGCGCAGAATGTAAAAGGATTCAAGATATTTGCAAATGGCAGCTCCATCACTAAGATTATTCAGAGGCCTAAGAAGATCTCGCAGTAGAACAACATCAGAAAGTCCCACAGTCATTCCTCCTCCTGTTACGGCATGGCGCATATTCAAGGAATCCCCTATCATAAACGCACCAGGGGTTGGATAGGGAGACGCAGGCATGATTCTGTTTGGCATTGTTCTTATGTTGCCCTTATCAATTGCACACATGAAAGCATTGTATAGCTCAGGTGGCATCTGAAATGTGCAAATCTCTGCATTAGTTCAAACAACATTTATATTTAATAAAGAGAACTAGCAAAGTTGCTAAAATGTCGCCTTAGACTGGCATTATGAGACATTTTACATTTTGCTTTCTGATATTATTAACAATAAATTCGCGATCAAGCGTACTCTATAAATTAATGAAAATAAGCTTCAATTCCAGAATAAGCTTCAATTTCAAGCAACTATACATACTTGAGGTGCCACCACTGTTTTCAAGTAGCTTGCCATTTCACCATTGGCAATAGGTGGTTGTTTCGAGCCAGGTACATCAACTAAACAACGAATTTCATTGCTGCTAACAGGATAAGCTATGACAATTGTATCCTTCAAAATAAAGTATGCACGATTTGCATATGGAAGATTATAGTTCTCCAGGACCAAACCAACAAAGTAAGATGGGACTTCAATCTGCAAGAAATGTAATGACCATGTGTTAGAGAGTACTATTAAACTAATTTTGGGTTGAATTAATTCTTTGATATAATAGCAAAGTTTAATAACCAAACATCACAAGTTTGAAACTTACAACTCATTCTAACTAATTATATTAATAATAATTAAGCCGAAAGTAATCATGATCCTAAGCAGTTTCAAGCTTTCAAAGAACTATTTTAAAGAATAATATAAAACTATTATTTGAGATTCACCTAGAAGGTATATCTACTGGTCTGTATTCTTATCAACAAAATAAAAAATTATAGTGCCTTCTCTCATTAATTACATCTAAATTTACTCATAATGCAAGATTTTCACCTTTGGATTGCAGAGATTGCGTCGTAAATTTGAAAAACAACCATCACATACTACTGTGAGTGAAGCTGAAGCTGCTAACTCCTGGCCTGCCTTTGTTTTGTATAGCACACCTTTGATAGTTCCATTTTCTTCAACAAGAGATGTTACAGTTCCTTGATCAAGTTTAACGCTGGACAAAGATCAAAGAAATATGAGAAAGAAAAATCTTCACATCATGAAATGATACTGACAAACACATAAATGATCAAGTCTATGGTTGGTTATATTGAACTCAGTACTCGCAGGCTACTCTGTTCCTATTGGTTTCAGGGGAAAGGACAAATACTTGGGAAGAGATGCGGCTTTTTCACGTAGTTTCATAAGAGTAGTTGTTGATTAATTGAACGGAAAGTATGTTCAACAAAATTTCTACAGCTAGTAATTCTTCACCTTCGAGACCTAACTCGGCCAATTTAATGCAGCCCCCAGCATGCAGGAGCTCACCAACAATTCTGTCGGGCTCAGTCAAGTCTCTTTCAATAACTTGCACGCGCCATCCATCCTGCAGTTGTAGGAGAAGACAAGGTTGCTGTTGCTTAGCACACACAGAACAACAATAGCTCTGCTTACTAGGTTTTGGTCTTTGAATTATAAGCAAGATCAGGCACTTAGAGTTAACTGTTTTACCATTGTGAAAGAGGTTATTACCTTTGCGAGAGCATAAGCAAGAGCTGAACCAGCAACACCAGCTCCTACGATGATCACATCAGTATTTCCAGCAAAATTTGATCTGCACACTCCATTTCCAGAGCTTTTCAAAGTTTTCTTGCTTCGATTTTTCTCTGAAGCTTTGATATTCTCTCTCCCTCTTGAACTGTAGAGGACAACAAACCCGAACAAGAAAGCTGCTACAACTCCTCCAAATATATGTTTGGAGTCCATTTTTCTCTCTCAGTACAAGCTCTCTCTCTCTCTGGATGTGCTGTCGAGAACCCTGCAGTGCTACCAAGGCACATAGTAGTATGGTATCATTTATGTGTTTTCTGAGTCACCATAAAGACTAATATTTATGCAGCTCAGGAAACAAAGAAAACTCCTGTCAAAGGGGAAAGAGAAACGCTGACAGAGACATAAAATTCATATCATTTTTTCCATCATACTGTTTATATTATAAAAGCTAGTGATAAAGTGATACAAAACTGGAGGAGGCTATGATGTCTACACAATTTTCAAATTGAATTTTACGAATTATGAGCTTTAGCGGTTATCGTAAGCATCCGCAGAGGAGCTTCCTAGGGAAGTAGGAGAGTGATTTATTGCTAAAAGACATGCAAATGGAAAGGTTGTTGATAGGGTTGTCAGTCCTCTGCATGATGAAAATTATTTTTTTCCTTGGAAGTATATGGTATACCACTGATTCCATAATAATTGAGTTTAGCTGTTCTCTGGGGAAATGATGGTCATTTAAATGGTTAGACCAATTATTATTGGAGTGGAAAAAAGAAAAATTGGAAATCAAATAAGAAAAATACTGAATTGTCGTTTTCAAGCTTCTTTTTTTTGTTTCATTATCGTTTAAGACTACTGAATTGTCGTACTTTTTTTCCTGTAAGAAAAACAATCGATAGATAAACAATTGTAATTCGAAGTTTAATATTATATTTTCATTCAATTTTAATTTGTATTTTTAAGTTTTATCCGTCTTTATGAACCACATGCATTCTATCACTTTGCCCTTATCAATTGACACGCTTGATTGCATTCATGGGGTTCCACTTACCGGCCAGCAGGTGACATGACTGTATGATGGAGATGTCTAGCTACTGCTCAAAGTCCAAACAACAACAGCACTGCTACCTAGAACAAGAAAAAAATGCATCTTGCTAAAATGAGATAGAAGTCAATTTTGACGGTTCCATTGAGTTTTCAAATTTCCTATCAAATTGGACTAAGTTGAAAATAGCTAAGGTCTTAAATCATGCTTTGCAATCAAAATAGCTAGGTAGCCGGAGGGCAAGTTTTATCTCCTCGGTGCTGTTTTTTTCTGTATTTTAAAAATATTTTTGAAAAAAATTGAATTTTTTTTATTTTTTATTAATTTTAAATTAATATGTTTTTAATATTTTTAAATCATTTTAATATTTCATTTTAATATGCTAATATTAAAAATAATTTTAAAAAATAAAAAAAAAAATTATTAACATGTATTTTGGTATGAAAAACTATTTAAAAAACAATAATAACCACATTTTCAAATAAATTCCTAATACAATGAGAAACATATAATTTTAGAATTCATACCATTAAGAAGAAATGTGATGGGATTAGTGGGATTTTCTCATAGCCTTCAATCTCGTAATTTTTTTCCTTGATATTTTATCATAAAAGCTATATATTAGAATAAAAATAGGGGAGATCATTCTGTTACACTAAGAGGAAAATCTTCTTAGCGACTGGAAATTCCTAGAGGATAAAAAAATAATTTTTGAGTTCAAGAGGGGAATAGAATCCATCTTCATTAGTTCAAGCAATGAGCAATGAGCAACAATGCAGAGACTCACCAAATCGAAGACAAAATTAGGCAAATTCTCAATGTGTAAGATAGATCGAGGACCTTGAGCCCATGCAATTTTTTGAAAAATGATTCGGCAATAAATTTCAAGTATTTATTAGTGCATGACAGTAGAGTTGAAAGACTGGGACACCTTGGTGAATAGCTCGAAGGAATTTCTTCAATTTGGTTTTGTATTGGTGAAACTCTCACAAGATTCTCTGTCCACTCCTCTGTATCTGGCAATTCATTTAGTTGTGCACCTGATTTCACCAAGCCTTGTGAGTTCTGTTGCTGTAGTTGGATGGCCATGTCTCTAATCAAGTCATGCATCGGGACACAGCTACAATCACCATATCTTGTAGCGCTTTCCAATAAGGAGACATTTTCAAGTTTATTAAGCATCGAATGGCCTTTGTAAACTTCTGCCACCCTACTCTGCAGTTTTATCACTCGCTCATCAATAAGCTATCAAATCCTCTCTAGGGAATACATTCTCTTCCATATCATCTTGCCTAACTCTTGATTGCCTCATGTCCTCTAAAGCATTCCTCCACTTGTTTATGTCATCCACCCCCTTCATGGCTCCAGCCGTTGTTATAATTCCTAGCGGCAAACCATCACTCCTATGTGATAGATTTTGCAATTTGTTCCACTTCTGGACAAAGTGTTATGTCATGTCCGAGTCTCTTAATAAACAAAATCCAAGCCTTTTCCTCCAAAATAGGCTTCACTTTGATTATGTGTAGGGTATCCATTTGTTGACAAATCTTTTTTGATCGAGTTATGAGAATAAGCTTGCATCCTTTAACTTTGACAAGAACTCCCAGCTTCTCAATAGTGTTCCACAAATCATCTAAAATCAAAACCCATTTCTGTTTCTTCATTAATTCTTTTCTCATTTCAACTGCTATGTGCCGCTCCTCATCTTCATTAAAAAGATTTAAACCAATACATCTTCTGATACTGCCCTGCAATTTTTTAATGCTGGTATCTTGTGAAACAGTAATCCAGTAAACATGAGAGAAAGTATCTGATCTCCATAGAAGCTGATTATACATATGCATCACCAAAGTTGTCTTACCCACTCCACCCATGCCATAGATTCCAATACTTGAAACTTCATCGTGCATCAACCAGGACCAGATAGTCTTCTTATGGTCTTCGAATGCTTGACCCACCAACTTTGTTGTTGGTAGTGCATCATCTGCTTCAATCTCATTTGTGTTGCATGCAAGTCCCTCCAGAAGAGCTAGCTCCTCCACCAGGCTGCGCTCATCTTCCTCTAGTTCTCCACATCATCATCATCCTCTTCCACTAGTTGTGTCCTCACTCTAACCATGTTCTGCACATCATTCATAATTACATCATTGTTTACCGATGGAGAACAGAGTTGATTGTAATGTCTTCCAAGTCCAAGACACAATAAATCAGTTGGTTGGGATGAATCTCCTCTAGGCTCATTTTGACTAACTGAGCCTCTCAAGAGAGCTCCTCTCTCAAAACGCTGCATCAATCACATGGTTTGGTTTTCTATGTTATTGTGAGTGACATTATCATCCATAAAAAAAGAACAGAGATCACAGATTCCTCGTCCACACTCTTGACTTGCTTGCTTGGTTATTGGTTTAGTCTCCGGTGCAATATCCACAAGTTCAATCCCTCCAATCAAGTCATTTGCCCATGCAAGTTCTCCAGCAAAAACAGCTTCTCCTTGTTGTGCTATTTGTACATGTATCACTTCATTGTTCTGTTCCTGTGAAGAAGTTGAAATTGCATTAGTGACCTCTTTATTGCTTGAGCCTGCTACAGTTTTCAGTTTTTTTTTCCAGAGGGCCATCGATTGCTGCAAGGGCTGCATTTTGTACTTCTTCTGGAACATTTTTACAAATTTTAACATCACGCCCTTTCACTCCTGACAAATGCCATTTGATCCTCGAAATGGAAGTATCCTTGGCAAATGGATGCCCACAAAACTCACACTACTATCATTCATATCTTCAACATGTCGCCAAAATGGATCATTTGATCAAACCATTTGTCCTACAGAAAGAACAAAAAAATTCAAGATATTGAATAAAATTAATGGAAGTTATATTAATCGGAAAAGGAAAGGTTTAAAACAAAAATAATAAGTTAAAAACAGAAAAAGAATTGTAAAATAAATAAATTCAAGGTTAGGTTCAATTCAGAAAGAATTCCACAAGGCATGAAGAAACTATTGATGATCCTAACTCCAAAGTTTCTCAATACAATAAGTTGTATTTTGCTTGAGCTTCAAACAATAGTTACACAAAGTATAAATAACAAAAACACCAGCAAAATGAAGAAGATAAAGTATAAATAATTTAACCTGGATTCCAGATGTTCTCCAAGTGCTGGTTTGCTTAAGCAGTATTCAAGGGGAAAAAAAAACCACAAAGCATGTGCTTGTAAGCCCTCCAGAAGAGCTAGCTCCTCCGCCAGGCTGCTCTAATCTTCCACTATATATCTCATCAACTGGTTCTGTCCTCACTGTAATCATGTTCTGTAAATCATACCTAATGACATTTTGCTTAGTGATGGTGCACAGAGTTGATCATAATATCTTCCATGGTCAAGACAACGGATCTGTTGGTTGGGATGAATCTCCTCGAGGCTCATCAGCTTGATTAGTTGATTCGAGGCCGCATGCACACAAGCGAAAAGGCACTGGCATGTATTGAAATGAAACTTAAAACCAACTGAGAAATAATCATAATTTAAGCTGCTTTGGAGCTCTTATATAGTTTTACATGACATACATTTTCAAGCTCTACACATCAGTCAAGGAGTTTGTAGTTTAATTAACAGTTTAATTAACTCTATATATATATATATATATATATATATATATATATATATGCCTCTCTTTCAAAAGATCTCAGAATCGAACTTCTCCATCATAATCCAACATCATTAGCGTATCTGCTATCCCTTTTAAGAGAAGAAGATTTCGAATCAGTCCATTCATTCCCATCTGTAGGCATCTTTCTCAAACATTAAGGAGAATTACTTCTGGATTCTGAGTTGCCACTAAAAAAAACCCTTATGAACTAATTAATCTGTCAGTCCTTAAATTAGTTTCCTCATTGTTTTCACAAATTTGTAAGAAAAAAAATGGAAAAAAAAATAAAAAAGAATAAAAATATGATCTTAAGCTATAAATCTAACACTCACTTGAAAGAAAATGATAACCATGCAAGCAGTTTACATGTCAGTATTTGATAAGGGGTGAGAAATATTGGAGACAAATTAGAGGACACAAATAGAATGTATTAGGTGAATTGCCCGTGCGGTGCCGCGGGTTATAACATGAACTCAGCAAAATCTAAAAGCATTGAGATCGAAATAAAAAGCAAAGATTTGCATGTGGCTAGTGAAGTAGACTTATGCTGGCAAAGCAGGACCGACAATGGAACTCCATGAAGAACAGCTAAAATAGCATGGGATTTTGACAGTGCCGCTCAAAAGTGTGGATGCAAGGTCTGATGCCCAGCAGGTCTCCTGTTGCGAGGCAAGAGTGTTAGCTTTCATCTAAAAGATGATAGGTATTGCCAGGCCAACGCTTAGGGAAAGCAAGGTAATGTGCACAAGAATTGGAGCAATTAATTGTAATGTTAAAACCCTGGAAAGCAAGTAAATGAGACTCACCCAGACAGAATGGAAAAATGATCATAATCATTTTGGAAAAAATAAAATTTATTTTTTTTATATTTTAAAATTATTTTAATATGATAATATTAAAAATAAATTTTAAAAATTAAAAAATATTATTTTAATATATTTTCAAACAAGAAATACTTTTCATTTACAATGCAACATGTGTCTTCATGTATTGTGAATTAAACAATCTTTTTAGTTTTTTTATATTGTTCATGAAGACTGAAAAAGCTTAAAAATAAAATTTTAAAATTCGAGGAAAATAAAAAAATAAAATAAATTTTTGTAGAGGAAAATAGATAGAGGTGTGGAATTTTATTTTAAATATATCCTTACAAAAATTTCAAAATTTCAAGTATTACCATTCTATTTTTAAAGTGTCTTCTCTCTTTTTTTTTCTTTTTAATCTGTATTATATATTTTTTTAAAATATTTTTTTGCTATAAGATGATTTGTACTAGTGAATAGATCTATTATTTTATCAGGTTAATATATCAATATAGTTTTTTTTTTTATGGGATTTTCATCTTGCAGATGCTCAATAGGACGAAAATATAATATTAATTAAACTTCAAATCATAATTATTTATCTATTCAGTTAAACAAAAAAATGACAGTTCGATGGTCTTAAAAGATAATGAAATATATAAAAAAATGAAAAATGTTATTTATGTTAATTGTAAACACACGATATAAATAAGAAATATTTCATATTAATGAACGCTTAACGACTCCAATCAATCAGAAATTGACATGACATAAAAGATGATGCTTACCCTTTATTCTATATTATATATGTTTTAAGGGCAGAGTAGTCTCCTCCTCCCGAAACATTACAAAGGGACTAAGGACATCCTTCGTGTTAGGATGCTCCCACTCCACTACTCTCTCCCACCATTCTTTTGGCCTTGCATTGATTTCTCTGAGAGAAGGGGGAGGGGATGGCTGGCCATTTTCAAGCAACGGAAGACAAATTGCCATCCTCTTCAGCTTCTCACAATTGATTACACTAATATTTTCGAGAGAATTGCAAATCAGTTTTGCACTACAAATGCTTTTCAATTCTGGTAACCAACACAAATTCAAAGATATTAACTTTGGGAGTATTAATTCCGTGATGGAATTGGAGGTGCTGCTTTCTTCCTCTGTTGTTCCTATTATCCCCTCCATTTTCTCACAGTTAATAACATCAATCAATTCCAGGTTTGGAAGCAACACAAGTGGGAACAGCTGCTTCATATTGTTACATCCAACACAATAAAACTCTTTAAGACCAGAAAACATACCATTATATGATGGTAATGGTGGTGAAGCAGAGCAGAGCCAAGAAGATGAAACCAAGTTCTCCATGCTATTGCAATCCCGAATGCTGATGCGCTTCAGTTCAGTTGCATTCTCTAATGACAAAACATCACATAAACTTCTCGCATCGATGAATTGACAAACCAGTCCTTGAATGCCATTTAAGAACTTGACCTGAAAATCTCTATCTTTGTTAATACTCAAATTACCCAACGCAACAGTTTTACTTGGAAAATCATCAATGCATTCCCGAAAATCCATCATTCCTACTGAAATTCTATATGTGCTTAATGATTGGATCCCATCCCGAGATCTGAGATACTCCGCAAAGTCAGAGAGACCTTTGAAATGGCATCGCAAAATTTCCAAATTTCTCAAGGATCCTACTTCCTTTACTTCAACTGTTATCCTCCGATAAGAATCCACAAAACACTCTTCTAGTACAAAGACTTGCAGGTGAGAGAGTTTTGGTAATATCCCACTAGGAAACTCCTTTTCACCACATCCATTCATTCTAAGATACCTCAGCTTGGTTAGGCATTCCATTCCTTGAGGCATCTTTTCAAGTGCAGTATGAGAGAGATCCAACCTCTTCAGTGCCCTGAGCTTCTTTAATGATGGAACATGTCTTAATTTCTTACAATTATTGAGCAATAATGCTGTAAGACTCAATAAATCAGAGATAGGGTCTGGCAATTTTTCAATACCTGTCCAAGTCAGATCGAGGACCTTGAGCCCATGCAATTGCTTGAAAAATGAATCCGCAATAAATCCCAACAAGCGATTATGACATAGCAATAAAGTTGATAGATAGGGACACCTAGGTGAATGGCTGGAAGGAATTTCTTCAAATCCGTTTTGCATTAGTGAAACTCTTATGAGATTCTCTGTCCACTCGTCTGCATCTGGCAACTCTTTTAACTGCGCACCTGCTCTAACCATGACTTGAGAGTTTTCTTGCAGTATTTGGATGGCCATGTCCCTAATCAAGTTATGCATCTTGACACCTATACTACCATCATATTCCATTTTAACACTTTCCAATAGGCAGACATTTTCTAGTCTATTAAGCATCGTGTGACCCTCGTCAAATGCATCTCCCCTGCTCCTCATTCCTTTAATTATTCCCTCATCGATCAAATAACCTATCAACTCCTCCCTTCCAATCTCACAATCTTCAGGAAATAATGCGCAATACAAGAGACACTGTTGTAGGGCTAAATCACCCAGCCGATCATAACTAAACCTCAATAACTTGAATACTTCATTGTCCCTAAATTCTGATTCTCTCAATTTTTTCAATGTATTTCTCCACTCATGAAGGTCATCAACTCCCTTTAAGCTTCCGGCCACAATACTAATTCCCAAAGGCAAACCAGCACATTCCCTAGCAACAGCTTTTGCAACTTCCGGTGAAAGTGCTATATCACATCCAAGTTTCTCCATGAATAAAGCCCAAGCTTCTCCCTCAGAAAGTGGCTTCACTTTGATTTTGTATTGACAAGCCATCCGATGACAAACCGTTTCTGATCGAGGTGTCAGATTTTGCTTGCATCCTTTCAATGGGACAGGAATTCCCACTTTTTGGAGCTCAAAATTGTTCCACAAATCATCTAAAATAAGAATCCATTTTTGTTTATTCATTAATTCTTTTGATAATTTGGCAGCTCTATGCAGATCATCAACCTCCCTTAAAAGGTCAAGATCAAGATGTTTAGCAATAAAATTCTGCAATCTTTTAATGCTGAAGTCTTGAGACACAGTCACCCACCAAACATGATCACAAATATCTAGTCTTTGTAGAAGCTCATTATAGATATGTTGCAGTATTGTTGTTTTACCAACTCCCCCCATCCCATAAATGCCAATGATTGAGACTTCATCGTCCATTAACAAAGACCATATCACCTTCATGTTCTCTTTAAATGCTTGACCCACTGGCTTTGTAGAGCTAGTAGGTAATAGAACTCCTGCAGAATTGTTGTATTTCAGACTTTTAGAAGATCTAGCTCCTGCACCAGCCTGCACCGCTGATCTTCCACTACTCGCTACATCCTCCTCCTCCTCCACTGGTTCTGTCCTCACTCTACCCATGTCCTGCTCATCATGCATAGTTACCTCATTGTTTACTGATGAAGCACAAGGTTGATCATAACGTTTTCCAATGTCAAGACAAAATTGGGATGAATCTCCTTGGGGCTCTAGAAGCTGCACTTGCTCTGTTCTTGGTATAGTCTCAAATGCATCATGCTGAAAAGATCCTTCACCAGTGTTTTCTATGTCATTTCCTAATTGTAAATTCAACTGAATTCTCTCTTCTCCGGGACCTTGTTCCATGCCCTGAACTCCCACTTGTATCCTTCCAGCACCCCCTGCCAAATTGTCAAGTACTGCATTGCTTTGTTCCAACGATCGATCCACTGGTTCTGTCCTCAGTCTGCTCTCGAGTGCCCCTTCAGAAACTCTATCTTCTTGAGCTCTCATTCCGGTCATGCTTACTGCATGTGAAGAAATCCTCTGTTCCCCTACAGCGGGTTCTACAACCTGAACTTCTCTTTGTACCCTTCCAATACCTTCTACCATGTTAATCTCAATGTTTTGTTCTTCTGGACAAGTTGAAATTCCACAATAATTTATAATATTGATTGAACTTTCTGTGATTTTATGTCTCTTGCTGACATCATTCATAGCTTTAGAGGCTGCTTCTTGAACTTCTTTAGTCACCCCACTACAAATGGCAACACCATGCCGTCTCTCTCCTGATAAATGCCATTTGAACCTTGAAATGGAAATTTTATTGGCCCATGTACGTTGACAAAACTTACACTTCACGCTACCATCAGCCCTATCTTCAATATAGTTCCAAAATGGATCCTTTGATCCAACCATTTCAACCTATAGAAAAAAAAAAGTGGGTCAAAATAAAAAATAAAAATTGATGGAGGTTACACCGTATCCGGATGGATGTGAAACTACTTCAGCACTGTTACCCTTATTTTGCTATTAAAATTGATAGTTAGTTTACTGCACAATCATAAGGGGGAAAAGACAACGATAATTCAGTTATACTTCTTACTTGTTGAATATTTAAACCCCTAATTTGACTTTGCAGGGAAGTCTCAAGGCCAGGATTTGAGGCATTTGGCGTAGCAGTTTGATTTTGCAATCCTTTGACTTGGAGGTCATCCTCAGAGTTGGAGCTTACTTTGTCGTTTCTTGCTATTGCATGTGAAGAAATCCTCTCTTCCCCTACTCCAGGTTCAACAACCTGAACTTCTCTTTTTACCCTTCCAAAACATCCTTCCATGTTAATCTCAATGTTTTGTTCTTGTGGACAAGTTGAAATTCCACAATCATTAACATTGATTGAACTTTCTGTGCTTCTATGTCTTTTGTTGCCACCACACATAGCTAGAAAGGCTGCTTCTTGAACTTCTTTAGTCACCCCACTACAAATGGCAACATTATGCCCTTCCTCTCCTGATAAATGCCATTTGATCCTTGAAATGGAGGTTTTATTGGCAAATGTATGTGGACAAAACTTACACTTCATGCTACCATCTGCCCTATCTTCAATATAATTCCAAAATGGATCCTTTGATCTAACCATTTCAACCTATAGAAGAAAAAAAAAAGTGGGTTAAAATAAAGAATATAAATTGATGGACGTTACACCATATCAGGATGGAAGAGAAACTATTTCAGCGCTGTTACCCTTATTTTGCTATTAAAATTGATAGTTAGTTTACTGCACAATCATAAGGGGGAAAAGACAACGATAATTCAGTTATACTTCTTACTTGTTGAATATTTAAACCCCTAATTTGACTTTGCAGGGAAGTCTCAAGGCCAGGATTTGAGGCATTTGGCGTAGCAGTTTGATTTTGCAATCCTCTGACTTGGAGGTCATCCTCGGAGTTGGAGCTTACTTCGTCGTTTCCTGTTATTGCATGTGAAGAAATCCTCTCTTCTCCTACTCCGGGTTCTACAACCTGAACTTCTCTTTGTACCCTTCCAATACCTTCTCCCATATTTTCAATCCTAATGTTTTGATCATGTGGACAAGTTGAAATTCCAGAATCATTAACATTTATTGAACTTTCTGTGCTTTTAAGTCTTTTGTTGCCACCACACACAGCTAGAAAGGCTGCTTCTTGAACTTCCTTAGTCACCCCACGACAAATGGCAACATTATGCCCTTCCTCTCCTGATAAATGCCATTTGATCCTTGAAATGGAGGTTTTATTGGCAAATGTATGTGGACAAAACTTACACTTCATGCTACCATCTGCTCTATCTTCAATATGATTCCAAAATGGATCCTTTGATCCAACCATTTCAACCTATAGGGAGAAAAAAAAAAAAAAGAGGGTCAAAATAAAGAATAAAAATTGATGGAGGTTACACCATATCCGGAAGCGCTGCTAACCTTATTTTGCTATTAAAATTGATAATTAGTTTATTGCACAATCATAGGAGGGAAAAAGACGACGGTAATTCAGTTAGACTTCTTACTTGTTGAGTATTTAAACCCCTAATTTGACTTTGCAGGGTAGTGTCAAGGCCAGGATTTGAGGCATTTGACCTAGCAGTTTGATTTTGCAATCCTCCGACTTTGAGGTTATCCATCTGTGACCTGTAAAAAAATGAAGTGATCATATTATAAGACCAAAAATCAATGGTGTCAATGGTGTATCTAATTATCAAAAAGGTATTAATATTGTGTTAAAACACAACAGCTAGAAGTCAATCAGTACCTAGTAGATTTTCCAAAGTGCCGTGGCACGAAGTTCTCGTGTTGTATATCGTCTATGTTAGGAATTACAGCAGCTTGATTGCAAAAATAATGACTCCTGAATCCAAAATCAATATGAAGCATTACAAACTTATGTTTAGTTTGCTGGGTTCATGTTCAAGCTATGATGTTTCTTTCCTGATTGAAAAAATAAACCTTTTTACAGATGATGGGAACTCCTTCCATCACCACAAGTACATGATGAATAGTACAGGAGGTGAAAAAAGAAGAGAAAGCACATATCAGAGAAGACTATATACATATGACAAATCTGAGAAAAAGATCAATTTATTTATCATGGATTACTTTAAAGATTCAAACCATAGTTACAAACAACTATATAAACAAAAACACCAACAAGATGAAGAAGATGAAGTGCAGATAATTAACCTGGATTCAAGATATTCTTCAAGCGCTGGTTTGCTTGAGCAGTAATCAGCCAAAAAAATAGAGAAGAGAAATCACAGATCAGAGAAGAAAATAAGGTTTAGAAAAATAATAAAGTTGCAGTACCGAGAGGGAAAGAAAAACAGAGAATGGTAATAATAATAATTATTATTATTAATTATTGTATTGTTTGATAGGAAGGAAGGAAGTTGCTAGGAAGGAACCCACCGCTTACCCGCGAAGCATTATATTATAAGATATTGGAAGTTAAAGTGTGGACCCCGCTAATGTTGAAACTTTGAAGAAGCTGCCCGGAAAATTTATGTTGCTTGGAGATTTGATTAATCAAACTAATTTATTTTTATTTTTAATGTTATTATATAAAAAATATTAAAAAAATATTTTTTTGATGTTTTATACAAATAAATATATTTTAAAATATAAAGGAGGATCAATTTTAAAAAAAAAAAATTAAAAGATATAATTTAATTGATTAAATTTTAAATTTATTTTTTTAAAATTATCAATTCAAGTTCTACAAATCTCAGAGTTATTAGAAATTTATATAATTATTAATTTCAGAACACATAAAATTAATTGTGATATACTCAAGTTAATTTGAACATTCATATTAATATATATATATATATATATATATATTATAGAAAAAAATTAAATCAATACAGATAAATAAATGATTCAAGGGTAATAAAATTATTAATCCATTCAATAGAAAAGGCGTGACTGAATACATAAATTAACTGCATAAATCCTATGATTATTTGGAGAAGAGTTAGAATAAATGGACATCTTTTGCCACATAGCAAATTAGTTTAAGTATTTTTTATTCTATATTGAATGTATAAAGAAAATTCAAATTTCCTACCCTTATAAGAGATTTTTTTGCAGGGAAGACGACAAATGCCATCTAAACAGAAAGACAGACAAAGGCTTAAAAAGTAGAACAGAAGTCCAGATCATGGGCTCAAATGGTTTCAGACGAAGATAAAATTTCTCAATATGACAGAAGCAAATTAAAGGTTCTCCCTTTGGAAACCTTGATCATATCGTATACCAGCAACGAGGAGAGACTAGTGATGATGGATCACGTTACGTAACTTTAATCATGTCGGATACCACCAACAATATTCCATCAGGTAATTGATAATTTCATTCAGATAGTTCTTGGGAAAGGTAGAATCAACTGTCACCCAACCTTTCCCAGACAAACTTCACATAAAATCCATAATAATTTTACTTTATTTTCACTCAGGAATCAACAATAATTGTAAAAACCCTAGTTGCTTATGATGCTCGCTTTTAATTCTATCAAGCATTGAGATATAAACTCTGTAATGTCTTTTATGCCATTTCATTAGTAATACTATTTCAAGTCTTTATACATCTAAAACTAGGATGGTTTGATATGCTTTCATCATCACATTTCTTTTCAAATCATCCAACTCAATCACACAAAAACCTAAAACCAAATCTCACCAAACTATCCTCATCAACAACAAAACTAGCTTTTCCTAACTCTAGGTCATCTTGAATCTTACATGGCTGCTCATCTCTAGCCTACCAAGTTCAACTTAGTTTGAAAGTGAACCAATAATACTCTCAATTCCCCCAATCTTAAAACTAACATTCTCATCCAACAAATTGTGTAACTCTCTTATCAATGGCCTTCTTGCCTCTTGAATATGAGCCAAACCATTATAAATTTTATGCTCAAAACATCGGCAACGACATTCACATTTTTCGGGTGATATTAAATCATGCATTCATAATTACTTAATAGTTCTATCCATTCTCTTATCTTATATTCAAATCCTTTTATTATTTTATATTCAAATTCTTTTATTGAAAGATATATTAAAGACTATTATAATCTAAAAACATCTCACATGCCTTTCTAAATAAATTATGTCTTCAAATCTTAAAAGCAAACACTACAATAACCATCTTCAAATTATGCACGGGGTCATATTATTATTTTGCATTAAAATATAACTCAATCCAATTCTTAATATATCACAATACACAGTAAAATTATCATACTGTAAAACCATTATATTTTGAAGGTATTATCAAAATCAAAGTCTCAATTAATCTTTCCTTTAACTCTAAAAAACTCTTTTTATATTTTTTTACCATTAAAACTTGATTTTTTTTCGTATCAATTTAGTTAATGAAATTGCAATCCATGAAAAGCTCTTCAAGAACCACTTATAATATTGTGCTAAACCCATAAAATTGCAATCCATGAAAAGCTCTTCAAGAACCACTTATAATATTGTGCTAAACCCATGAATCTCATAATATTAGATACTATAGTCGGTCTAGGCTACTTCTTAATTGTCTTCATCTTTAATAAATCAACCTCTATCTCATTTTTTCACATACATATCCCAAAAATCCAATATTCTTTAACCAAAACTCATTTTTTTAAAACTTTTCATACAACTGATAATATCTTAGAGTTTAAAGAACCAGTAACAAATGCTTTTTATAATTCTTTTCACTTCTTAAATACACCAAAAAGTCATCAATTAATACAATAAAAAATATATCAATAAATGGCCTAAAACCCTGTTCATCATCTTTATAAATGTTATTGGTCCATTCATTAATCCAAAAGACAAAACTAGGAACTTGTAGTGCCTATAGCAAGTTCTAAATGCAGTTTTAGGAATATTATCCTTCCTAATCCTTAACTGGTAGTACCTCAATCCTAAATCACTTTTTAAGAAACATTGAGCTCCTTGTATTTGTTGTGATAAATTTCCTCTAATTCATGGGTAGTTAATGCTTACGTGTCAATATATGTGATCTATTAACATTACGTTTTGTGGTGTGTGTGTATCAGCACTTGCAAATTAGAAACATCATCAACATGGTTAAAGAGGGTTTAGGCTGATTATAGCACAAAAATGCTCGTGAATTATACCAAAACTACTAACTAATCAATCACCAACATGGTTAAAGAGGGTTTTGGATCTATATTTGATGGCAATGAATCAGCAAGAGGAGATATACTTTCTTTCCAAGTCCTTATATAAGAGCTATCAATATTCAATTGATGAGGGCAACATAAGAAATAATATTTTTAATGCAAATAATAAGTAAACAGAACAATCAATAAATTAACAGTAGAAGAAGCTATAATGTTAATGAACTGAAGCATATTCTGATTAATTTATAGAGCACGCTTGATCATGGATTTGTTTTAATAATATCTGAGGCTTTCATATGTGCAATTAATAAGGGCAACATAAGAACAATGCCAAACAGAATCATGCTTGTGTGATGGTTGCCTCATTTACTGCTGAAGAAGCGGTCTTTGGAGCTGAAACAAGATCAGCTCCAACAAGTTAGGAAGTTAGTTGCAAATAAAGCTGCTGTAGAACAACTCTTATTCCATTAAATCATGTCAATATTTTTCTGAAATTAGTTATTAAAACTCTTGTCTAAAATAATGATTCAATTAATAAAAATAGTAATGATTTTGAAGTCTCAAAACAACCCTTTATATGTACTAGTTTTCTCTGTTTTTTGTGTCTCTATTCTGCTAAAAACTATACTGCATCTCCCTATCCAACCCCAAGTGCATTTCTGATAGGGTATTCATTGAATATGCGCCATGCTAGCTGGTAACAGGAGGAGGAATGACTGTGGGACTTTCTGATGTTGTTCTACTGCGAGATCTTCTTAGGCTTATCCTAAAGCATGAGGTTGGATCAGACGTCATCTTCCCTGTACTTAAGGCACAAGGAATTAGAGCAACATTCTTCCATTCACCAATGATTCAGAAACAAGGAAATAGTTGTTTATTTTATTGGTAAAGGAACCAATTCTTATCAGCTAAATTTTTGAAGCATGAGGAACAGCATGAACAAACATGAAACAATCCTCATGATGTACCACATGAAATGAATAAAATGAATCTCAAAATTGTATCTCTGTTGTGTTATAACCTAATTTTTAAATAAATAATAAATAATAAAAATTATATATATATTTAAGAATGAGGTTAAAACAACACAAATTTGAATTTTAGGGATAGAATTATCAAATTTGAGAGTCCATTGGTCACAAATTAAAGAATTGATAAATTTGGGGACTTAATTGAGTTTAGAATTATTTTAATGAAAGCAGGGACGCAATTGTTAAATGTCAGAAGTTCAGGGGCCAATAGCCATTTCCAGAGATATAAACGGCGCCGTTTTGAACCATTGTTCATCGCCTTCTTCATTTCTAGACCGGGCACCGACTCAACAGGAAACCAATACCGTTTTGGACCGTGACCTCCATGAACGTCTCCTCAGCTACCCATTATCTTCCAGAGGCCACGTTGAATAGCCCAACAATATCAGGACGGTTATTTCCCTGTTTCTTCTCAGAGAAACAGAGGTATTCGTGCCACACGATCATGAGACACGAACACATGAACACAGGCTATCCTCTGGCTTTATAAAAGCCAGAGAAATCCACAGAAAAAAAGGGGGGAGAACAGGAGTACAGACAAGAGAGGACGAAGAAAGAAAGCAAGAAGAAAAAGAAACAGAGAGACGAACAGAGGAGACCATAAACACAAGGGGGAGCTGGAAAAAGAGAGGAGAAAAACACAAACATAGGGACATCGAACAAAGAAGAAACCCAGGCAGGGAGGAAGAACACAAACAGAGACGGGGTCACAAGCACAACACAGAGTGAACCGAGGGAGAAGAACGAAAACACAGGAGGAACAAAGAAAAGGCGTCAGGGACGAACGGACAACACAGGGACAAACAACACAGAGGGTAAAGCATCCGATCAATCAGCACACCAATTCATTTGGCTTCGTCTCCAGGTAAGTCTCTTTTTTGCATTATAATTCACTACAGTACCTAGTGATTTATGATTCACTTGTTACTGTAGCAAGTGAATCATAAATCACTAGTTCTTGTTTATGTAGTAGGGTGCGCTGTCATGCACGCCTGCTACCCGGCCGGGGCTGCTACTCAACCACAGAAAAACATAAACGAATACACATGTAAAGATTTCAAAAATTTTCATTGTTTTATTCACTGGAAGTTAAAAGTATTTATAGTTAAATTATTTAGTGATATTAAAATTAAAAATATTATAAATAAATTATCATTTAATTTGGTAAGAATATTTTTTTTA